TTTTTGCAAAAAGATTACTAAAAATTTGAAATAATTCGTCATAATTTCTTTGTGATATTTCCAATTCCTATAGCAACGACAACATCACCGGCTGTCTTCAGATCCAAAATACTGACATTTTCCATGGCCAAATATCAGATGAATACTAAATTATCTTCAGTTTCCTTTATTCAAACACATCCACAGATTATTAACACATTTTGCCCAACCAATGCGAATTCCCAAAGTGCAGAAATATGTCAAGAAAAAATAATTGGAGCTCATTAAAAATGATAAATTCACTTGACACTCGTTTATCAAAGCAGAACAACAGATACAACTAGGTGAGAAATAGAAATCTCCTTGAATATCGACATGTACATACAAAAAGTTTGACTCTTAAAAAAATGCCAACAAACTAACACATGTACAATTATTTATGCATTCAAAACTAGAAGAGAAATCAATGTACAAAGTAACACCTTTATAATAAAGCAAATAAAACAAGTAAAAAAGCTGTAAGTTCGGCCGGGCCGAACTTTGAATACCCTCTGCCATTTGGAACTAATTTGGCAATCCTCAATAAAAATAAAACCCTTTAAAAATGCTGTTAAAATCTTAAAGTGACGAATGCAACTGTTATATTAGGGTATATACGACGACATGGACATGCATAGGTAACTTTTGTCATAAGCCATTACAATACTCAAATGCGAAACTTAAAAAAATCGGTGAATAATGTAGCTAAAATCATCAAAATACTGAATATCGGGAGGTACCGTTATATGGGGCTATATGAAGACGTAGGTCCACATCCATTTTCAATACCAAAAGTCCTGCAGACATATTATTCATTTGAGTAAAATTGTATCAATCTACTTAAATTCGTTCGGAAGCTAGAGTGATTTCCACAGATGGACGGGTAGAAGGACATCGCTAAATCGATATAGAATTTTATGCTAATCAAGAATATATGTATTTATGGGCTCTAAAAGGTATATTTCGAAATGTTACAAACGGAATGACAAGCTTTATATACCCTCCATACAATGGTGGAGGGTATAAAAAGTATTGAGTGTGGCCGGACAGAACTTTTAATACCCTCCACAATAGGAAAACGTGGAACTAAATATTCAATGTTCTGCCACCGGGGTAGAACCCATTATGAACTACAAATACCAATTTTAGATAAATCCGTGGGAAAATGTGGCAAAAATCATCAAAACATCGAATATCGAGAGGTGGCGTTATATTGGGGCTATACCAAAACGTGGACCTATACATACAATTTTTTTATGTCCAACAAATACCAATTTTAAGTCAAATCCGTGAAAAAATGTGGCAAAAATAATCAAAATACGGAATATCGGGAGGTACCGTTATATGAGGGCTATACCAAAACGTGGACTTATACATAACATTTTTTATGACCTACAAATACCAATTTTTAGACAAATACATGAAAAAATATGGGAAAAATTATCAAGAAAACCGAATATAAAATTCGATAAAATCATCATATTTATCAGAAGGTGTCTACACGAAAACGTTCTATATGGTGGTCCAACTTTGCCACTGCAGGCAATTCAAACAATTAAAAGAATTGATTTACATCCGAATCCGCTGAAAAATATGGCAAGATATCAGGACACATAATTGGTCTACTTAAAAAATTATTCAAAAAATCAATGTATTTCCCTAATTTTCGATTTGTAGTTTTTAGAAGTAATGTAAACAATTTCAATTTAAAAGCAGATGATATGATTAATACGACCCCTTTCGACTAATCGTTAAAGATATGGAACCAATATTTTCCAAAAACCTAAACATCAGAATTTGTATATCTCCGCTATTGGCTCCAAAGGAAAACTTGCACTCACGCAAATGAGTAATTTTAGTTTGTGACCGGAGCACGAGACCATGCAAAATGTGACCGCATATCTGACTATATACTGTAACGAAATCAGCATCAATGTAAAGGTCAGAAGTGTCTTTTTCATGTAGTTCAGATTTTGCCAGAGGTGATTTTCTGTTTACAAATATTCGCGATTTATGTTTTATATAAAAGTCATGGTTCATTTCATCCGCCAAATATTATCGGATAACCATGCAAAATGAAGGTCTTCTGGTCCTAAACTCTAATCTCACCTCAAATTACGGGTTTACAATTGGACTTATAGAGCAATTGCTACATAAAATTTTAAATTTTTGGTCCAGAACATCTTCAAAACCAATACTTTATATTCTGGTCATAATCCCAACTCCATGCTAACTCTAACTCGTATAGATCGGTTCATAGTTGTGACCGGCACGATTATAAATGAGCCTATACAAACGGACGAAAACAAATACCTAAATCAACTCAGTATAATATAGTGGATCTCGGACCAATGTTTCGAAGTGCTAAAAACTTGGGCTGGTATTTCCTATTTAGGCTGATATTACACATTTGGTGCATAATGAACTTGATATTCTATATTTACTCCCTTTTTCATGCTAATTTTTTCAACAATAAAGACTATTGTAAATAACAAAATAAAGCGCATCTTAAATTAGATGCCAAAATGCATCCCTTTCGGTAAAATCGGTCTTCAGTTTGACTGTACCGAACCTTTTATACATATACCTTTTGAAATCGATTGACTGCTAAATCAGTAATATAGGTGGATTGATTTAAAATTAAAAACTAAAACCAGTAAAGAAGGGTCAAAAGTCGTTCGGGACCGACTATACGATAACCTTCATCTCTATGCGTATTTAGTAGAGATTCCGTAACAAAAAAGTTTATATTGGGAATTTATGTCATGTAAGCTGTAGTATCCATACCAATTACGAACCTTACATATTTGAATGCGTATCATGGCTTTAGAGCAGGTATAATTTGGTTTCAGATTGAACTAATATATGGTAGTTATATCCAAAAATATCGAAGTCGAGGTCCACAAATTGAAAAAATTCTGTTGAATATGAAAAGATCCAATCTGGGCTACTTTAACTTATATGGTGAACAATAACCGCGAAAACGGATGAAGATATATATGGAACCGATGATCATACAATTTGACAGAACTACGAATGTGAGGGACTTAAACATCCAATCGGATGAAACGTTTATATGGAAGCTATAGCTATATCTGTGCCGATTCCTACCAAATTTGAAGTGCCCGCTTCTATGCTGAATTTGGTCGGATATGTCGAAATACCTGTCTCTAGGCTGGAATCCGTCGTACATGCCAAAATTCGCTACATTTGGGCTGATATTAGCATTTTGGTGCACTATAACCGTTAAATCGGATGAGGATATATATGGAAGCTATATCCAAATCTAAACCGATCCGCATAATAGTTGCTGTAACACATTACTAGGATGTTTTCCAACCATTCAAATTCCAAAATATCAAATTTGAAAAAACTTCGGTGACCAGGAACATACAATTAAAACAACCGATTCCACAGAAACCTGAAAAATATAGAAAATCCGGAGGAAGCGTAATATTGGAGCCATATCAAATACTGGCACATAAATAAACTATTTTATGAGGAGAATTTATAAATACTAAAAGCCTTTCTAATGAGGATGAGAGTTGAGACAGATTCTTCAGTAAATAATGAAGCCTAAACTGTGCCAAGTCAGACTTTAATAGTATATTAACAAATATAGTATATGTTCCTTGGAATATAGCGATTGCTAAATTTGGGATCAACTCAGAATTATTTGAGATTTGTGAATGAGTACTCAAAATGTTGATCAGTTTTGGGGTAATTGCCGAAAGGATTCGCCGATAAAGTGCGTTTTGAAATATAATCGAAGTTTAGTTATAAACAAGTAAAAAAGCTGTAAGTTTGAATACCCTCCACCAATTGGTACAATCTTAACAATTTTGAAAAAAAAAATCTGTTAAAAATTTTGTTAAAATCTTAGAAATACCGAATGTAGCCGCATATTATGGTCTATACGAAGACGTGGACCAGCATAGGCAACTTTTGACACAAGCTATTACAATATTCAAATGCGAAACTTGATAAAAATATGTTTATAATGTAGCTAAAATCATCAAAATACCGAATATTGGGAGGTACCATGGTGCTTATAAATAAATCCGGTCATGGTGGTTATAAATATAATAAATATGTCATAGGCTGTAGTATCCATTTCGAACTTCAAATACAAAATTTGAAACAATTCCGGTAAATAATGTCGCTAAAATCATCAAAATGCCGAATATCGGTGGTTACCGTTATATGGGGGTTATACGAAGGCGTGGACCTGCACAGACAATTTTCTGTCATAGGCTGTAGTATCCATTTCGAACTTCAAATACAAAATTTGAAACAATTCCGGTAAATAATGTCGCTAAAATCATCAAAATGCTGAATATCGGGGGTTACCGTTATATGGGGTATATACGAAGGCGAGTTACCTACAGCCACCAATAAACAACATTATTATTAAGTTCATTATTTTCAACCACAACCTCATTTATTAAAAACATCATTATTGTTAACACCATTATTATTAACATCATTATTATTAACATCATTATTATTAATATCATTATTATTAACATCATTATTAGTTACAACATTGTCATAAGCACCAAAGAGCTAACACCAATATTGTTGACATTATTTCGTCAGCAATAATTCTCCACTTCAACATCACAATAACAACACTAGTAATAAAACTATGACGGAAATAACCCAAAAAGAAATGTTTACTTTTACTGTACCCAATACAAATTTTTAGCTTAAGTATTTTTCTTGATAGCTCTAGATTTTATGTTCCTTTGTTCTTTGTTAACTCTAAGAAAAATCAATAATTGTAAAATCGCTTAAATATAAGAATTTTTTGAATAAAGCATCAGTTGTATTTGGCATCTAAAACAGAATAATTCTTGTTTTCTGATTTTTCGGCGGTACGGAAGTTAACTGGCGCAGTCGTACGGCCATTGTTGGTGCGGTCTTTCTCAAGTGAAAAAAAAAATATAATTAAATAAATGTATCCTTAAAACAGAAAAAAAAAAAAAAAAAAAAAAAAAAAAAAAAAAAAACAAAAACAAGCAACAATTAAAACAACAAACAACAACTACAAGTGAAGAACAAGAAATAGTCCTGAAGCAGTCCATATCTACAAGCAACTTATACAGGTCTCATCGGAGGAAAGAAGCAGATAAAAACCTTGGAAATCAACAATGAAATTATTTATTATGATAATACTAGGGTAATTATTTTAAGAAAATTATAATATTTATCACTATTATATTACTTTATAAAATATAAAACAGAAATAAGCAAAGAAATATTTCAATTATAAAGAAAAAGGCTAATCAAAATATCTCAAATCAATAAAAAGGGTAATTATATTAAATGCGAAGACTAAGACCAAGACCATATTCTATTCGATACTTAACTGCAATACCGGAACAACAAGAAATGACTACCGTTAATGACATTAGTGCCCCTCAGGCGCTACAATCTCAACAACCGTCACAATCCTCTCAAGCATACGAAACATTAAAAATTCCAGATGCCGTAAAAGATTTACCAACATTTAATGGAAATCCAAGGCAACTAAATGATTTTTTAGAAAACGTTGAAGAGATTTTAAGAATATTAGCGAATATCGATGGTTCTAACCAAGCAACAGTAGTGCTTAGAGCCATCAGAAACAAAATAGTGGGAGAAGCTAATGAAGTACTTAATTCATCCGGTACTCCGTTAGTTTGGGAGGTAATTAAAGCGAATCTAATACTTAAATATTCGGATAAAAGGAGTGAAACCTCCCTTGTGCGTGAACTCCACAATTTACGACAAACTAATCAGACTGTGCAAGAATTTTATGGTTCAGTTATAGAGCTACAGGCAGCAATAAATAATAATATATCAATTCATGAAACTAACAAACATGTCATAAACTCGAGGCGCGAATTTAACGCTAAAATGTGCTTAGATGCATTCTTAATAGGCCTCCGAGAACCCCTTGGCTCAATGATTAGGTCTATGAGACCCGATTCATTAGATGAAGCATTAACATTCTGCATTCAGGAACAAAATATACAATATTCAAGAAGACTAACTTACAACCAACCATTCTACCAACCAAGGTATAGACAGAATACACGGAATTATGCCCCTGCTCGTAATTACCAACCAAATATGAATAACACACATAGATTTACACACGGACAAATTCACCATTACGCACAAAACAATATAAATAGATTCCAAAACACGGTTAATACTCAGGGAAGAAATCAATATAATCCAATAACTAATGCATTTTCACAAAAGGGACCTCAAGCACCTAATGGAAATACCTTTTCTCACAATGGGTCCGGACAGAGCAAATTCAGCAACTTCAGGCAGCAACAGCTTACGACCAAACCCTTACCACCACCAGAACCAATGGATGTTAGTTCTGGTTATAGTCATTTAAGAAAACCTATGACTACACAAACGAGACAGACATCGTACCTAAACAACGTCAATGTGTCTCAAGCTTACCATAATGATCTAGACGGATATTACCACGGACAAACACATGACAATGACTTCGAACAAAACTACACTTATCATCAAAATGATGATAATGACATGAACGATCTAAAAGACCAACAAAATAATGGTATTAGAACGGAATACGAAAATGTAATAGTTGATAATGAAAATTTTCATATGAATGCCTACCCACACCAACGGGATACTTAGATATTAACAAACATGGACACACATTACCCTATATTAACATATCCTCCCCATTTGGTAGACCCCTGAAATTTTTAATAGATACTGGAGCATCGTCATCATTCATAAACCCAGAATTTGTAAATGACGGAGAGTGTATGACTTGCAAACCAATTACAATCACAACAATTTTAACTAAACACTCACTGGACAAAAAATTAAACTACCCTTATTTACGGAATTCAAACAAAAAGGAGATACAGAATTTTTTGTCTTCAAATTTCACAACTATTTCGATGGACTAATAGGATTGGACATATTAGATTTTCTCAAAGCTAAAATAGACCTAGGTAACAAAACTCTAGTAACAAGTCAAGCCATCATACCTATTCATCTCAAACCCAATTTCACTTCTGAGAAATTCATTATTCCAAGCTCTTCCAGAGTTGTTATTAATGTACCGGTAGACACACAAAATGGTAGCTTTTTTCTCCCAAGGACTTTTTTGGGTTCTGACCTCTTTATTTCAGAGGGACTGTATCATTCTAAAAAGTGGTACAGCCTTGTGGAAATAGTTAATACTTCTGGACATGATAAAATTGCATACATTGAACAACCAATAAAGACGACACCATACAACGACCAGAATTACATCGAAGTTAATAACTTCAGTTTAGAACACAACTGTATGAATGATAATCATGACATTTTAGATTCGATAAGGACCGGTCATCTTAATAAAGAGGAAAAACAAGCTTTGCTGAAGGTTTGCAAATGCTTTGAAGATGTGTTTTTCAAGGAGGGAGAACAATTGACATTCTCGAATCAAATCAAACACCAAATAAGGACAACTGACGACAAACCCATTTTTACAAAATCATACAGGTACCCTTACATACACAAAGAGGAAATACGCAAACAAATCGATAAAATGTTGCAACAAGGTGTAATTAGAAGAAGTTTTTCACCATGGAGTGCTCCTATATGGATCGTACCAAAAAAATTAGACTCGAGCAATATACAAAAATGGAGACTTGTTATAGATTATCGCAAATTAAACGAGGAAAACTGTTTCTGATAAATATCCCATACCCAACATAACTGACATATTAGATAAATTGGGGAGAAGTCTCTACTTCACAACTTTAGATTTAGCTAGCGGTTTTCACCAGATCGAAATGCACCCAAAAGATATTGGTAAAACAGCATTTTCTGTCGATAGAGGTCACTATGAATTCGTAAGGATGCCTTTTGGATTAAAAAATGCTCCATCCACTTTCCAAAGGGTAATGGACAATGTATTAAGTGACTTGATCGGGACAGTCTGCCTTGTATATTTAGATGACATAGTTATATATTCAACTTCCTTAGAGGAGCACATACAACACTTGAAAAAAGTACTCGGTAAATTACGTACAGCCAATCTTAAGATACAACTGGACAAATCAGAATTCCTAAAGAAAGAATGTTCTTTTCTCGGACATGTTATTTCCACTGATGGTATTAAACCCAACCCTGATAAAATTCATGCCATAAAAGCTTTCCCCATACCAAAAACACAAAACAAATAAAATCATTTTTAGGACTACTCGGTTATTACAGGAAATTTATTCAAGATTTCTCGAAATTAACGAAACCCCTCACAGAATGTCTTAAGAAAGGGAGAAAAATAATATTAAACGAGAGATATTTGAACACATTTGCTACTTGCAAAAATCTTTTAATGAACGACCCACTGCTCCAATATCCTGACTTTTCAAAACCATTTAATTTAACCACCGACGCTAGCGACTTTGCTTTAGGAGCAATACTTTCCCAAGGACCAATAGGTAGTGACAAGCCTATATGTTACGCAAGTCGTACATTATCGAATAGCGAAATAAATTACTCGACGATAGAAAAAGAATTACTTGCTATCGTATGGGCGACAAAATATTTCAGGCCATACCTTTTTGGAAGGAAATTTAAAATAATTACCGACCATAGGCCCCTTACATGGATCATGAGTCTAAAAGAACCAAATTCAAAATTAATCCGCTGGAGATTAAAACTAGAAGAATATGACTATGAAATTATCTACAAAAAAGGAAAATTAAATACTAACGCAGACGCACTAAGTCGTATTAAATTAGACAATCTATCTGTAAATGAACATGTCGATATAAACACTAATTCAGTTGATAACATCTCAAACCATGGTACACAAGGAACAACAATCCATTCCTCCGACGAAAATGTTGACGATGGAATACCGATATCAGAAAGACCAATTAACGAATTTAATATTCAAATTATATTTCAAACTCAAATCGGTGGCTCACCAATAACCTTAGAAACAATATTTAAAAATAAAATACGCAAGACTATACGTAGAGAAAAGTACGACGAACAAACATTGACTAACATTTTCCAAAATTATATAGCACCAAATAAAGTCTCTGCGCTTATGGCAGATGACGATACATTTAAATTAATTCAAAGCACCTACTCAAAATACTTTGCAAACAGCAAACTATTTAAGTTAGTACGATGCATGGACATTCTACAAGACATAAGAACCATTGATGAGCAAGACAAAATAATTAATGAATACCATATGAACCATAACCATAGAGGTATTCAAGAGACATATGCACACTTAAAACGAGAGTACTACTTCCCTTTCATGAAAAACAAAATACAAAATTGTATTAATCATTGTCATACATGCCAAACTTTAAAATATGACAGGAAACCACCAAAACCCAAATTTCAAAAACCTGAAATTCCCGAAAAACCACTGGATATTATCCACACAGATATCTATTGTATAAACAAGCGTAATATACTTACCATCATAGACAAATTTTCTAAATTTGCAGCCGCTTACTCTTTAGACTCTAGGAATAGCCTATCAATTCTGAAAAGTTTCAAACATTTCATAAGCCTACACGGCATACCCAAGAAAATTGTTTGTGATCAGGGCGCTGAATTTAATGCATCCATTATAAAAGATTTTTGTAAAATGCATCAGATAACCTTACATTATACATCATTTCATCAAAGTACAGGAAACTCTCCCGTAGAAAGATTACATTCAACCATTACCGAGACCTACAGAATAGTTTACGAAAAGTATAAGTCATCAGAAATACCACTAAATCACGACGAAATACTATCAGAAGTCATTTTTACCTATAACAACGCAATCCATAGTGCTACAAAATTAACCCCATTTGAACTCTTCTATGGTAGGACTTATAACTTCGAAAAGACATTAAGCTATAACTCTGAACATGACTACTTAAATAGACTACAAGAATTTCAAAATGACTTACACAAAATTATTAAAGATAAATTATCCATGGACACTGACAAACGTATAAAAAACTAAACGCAAATAGGGAAGAACCAGAAGATTTAACTGAAAACCAGACAATATACAGAAGGGAATCAGGGAGGAACAAAATGACCCCTCGTTTCTCAAAGAGGGTAGTCAAGGAAAACAAGAAAGTGACGCTGATAACGTCAAATAACCAAAAACTACATAAAGCCAAAATTAAAAGAAAACGTCTTACATAAACTGACTTCTATTTGTCTTTTAGGTTCGTACCTGTACAATCCGACGTCACAATAACAAACATAACGCAGACTCAGGGACTTATACCACTACAACTAGGCGATGCTAAATTAATCACAGACTTTCAACATCTAATCCATGTTATTAACCTTAAAACATATAACGACAATATTAACACTATAAAGCAAACTTTGGATCGAATAGAGGAGACAAGATTTACAGCATCACAACTTAGAACTACGAAACTGAAACTGAATAATCTCTCAGCCAAATTGGATATATTAACCCCAAATTATAGGAAAAAACGGGGACTTGTAAATGCCTTAGGATCAGCAATCAAATTCATAACGGGAAATATGGACTACAAAGATGCAGAAGAACTAAATAAAAACATTGACAATTTAACTAGAGGAAATACCCAAATAAAAACAACGCTTAAAAACCAAATGATGTTAAATAACAAAATGATAACAAGATTCGAAAACATTACCAATCACATAAATGAAGAACAAAACCTAATAGAACGTTCTATAATGATGATTCAAAACCAGACAAGAAATGCCATAAACCCCTCGGTTAATGCAATAATCCAAATGCAAAATTTACTTCAAATCAGTTTTAACATAGATATACTTACCGACCACCTTAATGATATCGCAGAATCAGTAGTATTAGCAAGGCTTAACACCGTCCCAAAATTAATATTAACTACTGACGAACTGAATGAAATACACAACATACTTAACAATGCAACGGACATTATATCACCAGAACATATATATGAATTACTACAACTGACAGCATATTATAACGACACAAACATAATATTTGACATACAAATTCCTATAATTTCTAATGAACTATTTAAATTATTACACATAATCAAAACCCCCATAAATAACACCTTAGAAATAATAACCGGTGAATACGCTTTAATAAACAATGATAACCTTTATCTTTTCGACAACCGATGCAAACAAATAGAACAAAAATTTTACTGCAACTATGAAACTCAATACGAAAGAAATAGAGATTGCCTAAAATCAATTTTGCTTAGAGAAGAAACGGTGGCATGTCACCTTAGAGACATAGGATTAACTACGGACATAATATATCCAGAACCAAATTACCTAGTGCTTATAAACCCTCCAATAGGAACATAACCACAGTATGTAACAACGTAACTAAGAGTCTACCAATCAAGTCTTCCTCTGTTATTAATTTTAATGAATGCAAAATCTTATTTAATAATGTCTGGTATACAGATAAACCGAATATTCAACAAGAAAACATTAGCACAATAACCTTCCAAACTAGCTTCTCAAACAATATTACAACACTCTCCATAAGAGACGAACTAACATTACCCAAACTAGATCAATACAGATTCCAAAATAAAGCAAATATCGAATTTCTTCAAACAGACTCTGACAATTACAAAACAATTTCTTATTCCGCATTTGGTATAATTAGTTCTATAATCATAATATTATCAATAATATTAGTAATAAGAAAGCCTATAAAATTAATCTACTCCATAACCCACAACAATAATGAAGTTCTGGCCACAAATGATCCGAAGCCCCTTTGACCCTCACTTCATTCTGGAGAGGGAGGAGTTACCTACAGCCACCAATAAACAACATTATTATTAAGTTCATTATTTTCAACCACAACCTCATTTATTAAAAACATCATTATTGTTAACACCATTATTATTAACATCATTATTATTAACATCATTATTATTAATATCATTATTATTAACATCATTATTAGTTACAACATTGTCATAAGCACCAAAGAGCTAACACCAATATTGTTGACATTATTTCGTCAGCAATAATTCTCCACTTCAACATCACAATAACAACACTAGTAATAAAACTATGACGGAAATAACCCAAAAAGAAATGTTTACTTTTACTGTACCCAATACAAATTTTTAGCTTAAGTATTTTTCTTGATAGCTCTAGATTTTATGTTCCTTTGTTCTTTGTTAACTCTAAGAAAAATCAATAATTGTAAAATCGCTTAAATATAAGAATTTTTTGAATAAAGCATCAGTTGTATTTGGCATCTAAAACAGAATAATTCTTGTTTTCTGATTTTTCGGCGGTACGGAAGTTAACTGGCGTGGACCTACATGGCTCATTTTCTGTCTTAGGATGTAGTATCTATTACGAACTTTAAATATTAATTTTGAAACAATTCCGGTAAATAATGTCGCTAAAATCATCAAATTACCGCATATCGGGAGGTACCGTTATATGGGGGCTATACGATATAGTCCATTTTCAATACCAAAAGTCCTGCAGACATAATACGCATTTGAGTAAAATTTTATCAACCTACTTCATTTCGTTCGGATGCTAGAGTAATTTCCACAGACGGATAGAGGGACGGACATTGTTAAATCGACATAGAATTTCATGCTGATCAAGAATATATATACTTTGTGGGGTCTAAAATGTATATTTCGAGGTGTTACAAACGGAATGACAAACTTATGGTGGAGGGTATAAAAATATAATAATGAAGTTAGGTAAAATTCAGAGCCTTCTTTGACCAGACTTCGATTTCAAAAAAATCCTACTTGTCCATGGAAAAGCACACTTTTTTCTTACGTCTTGTATATATTTTAAATTAATTATTCGAAATTAACTCGTTAGTCCAGTTATCATTTTCAATGAAAAAATGCTAACATTAGACGTAATTCAAATCGTAAACTGCGTTAAATTCTAAGAACTTGTGGCCAAAAACTTTTTTTTCTACCGAATTTGGAATAATTTTATAATTTTATATATGCTGTGAAACTACTGCACAGGTTTTATGTCGCTCCATGCCTCGAACTTACCTGGTCCATATGGTGTTCCCGCACATTTAAATGCACAATTTTACATTTCGTTAATACAGCATGGCTTTTTTAAGGAAGTACTAAAAGGTTTAAAATTTAAGGACCAAAAATGACTGCAAATCTTTTGCTGCAGCAATATTAAGAAATTTAGGGTATAATATATTCGGATACGATCTTCCATCCATCTTCGTTTGCTTCTTTGTTCCCATTGTTTGGTTTTACAAAAAATCGCTCCAGTGATGATGTTTATGTTTGTCAACATTGTGTTCATTGTTTCTTTTTTTTTATGCAGAATATTGAGTCTCCAGGAAGATGCTGTCAAACTAATGTCAGATAAGAATTTCCGCATCCTTCGTCCAACAGAAAACACATCAATGTGTGATAAATCACTCTAGTCCTGTATGACATAATTGTTTTGTTTCGGACAGCAAACGAGGATATTTATCCATCCTTGAAGTATCAATCGGACATTTTACAAAATATGTCATTCCATCGGTACTGCGTTGGCGTTGGGCGGAGATGAATGATGATGATGGTCTTGGGTACAAATCTAACAAATCGTTAAGGGTGCACAAATCATATGCACATATATGGATAGGATGCCAGAGAGACATGATTGTTATTTTCATGGCAGAGTGATAACAAAAACTTTGCAAAAACAATCAAAATGTCACAAAATAAATGGAAAGCAAAACAATTTATGGGTCCTTGACGAAAACAAAATATTTCATAATTCTTATTCTTTCATGCATTAGCATATTTTTGCTAAATATGGAACTAATTCGAAGAAGGGAATCGAATTGGGCGGACAATCAATATAAACCCCGTATTAAAGATTAGTTAAATGGAAGTAGCACAAAATGTCTTATAGTCTATGGAGGATTCATTTGACATCATCATCTTCCTATTTGTGAAAACGCCAACATCTGTGAAATTTAAGAATTGTTTGAAGAAAACAAGTGAAAAAGACCAACTTAAAACATTTATTAATAAAAGTATCGGGATTCTTGGTTGGAGAATACAATGCCCTCAAAATACCATAAAGTAGTCGATACAGTTATATGGCTATACGCTATATCGAAAACACGCTATACCGAAACGTGAATTTTGATCGACTGACTGAAGGAGCTTTGGAAACAATTCCGTGGAAAAATATGACAAAAGTCCTCAAAATACCAAATATCGATAGGTAACTATAGTAAAACCAGGAACAGGACCAGGAATGCATTCTACCCACCCATTCCAAATACCAAATTTAAAACGAATGCAATGATTTCGAGCAGCACATGTCATTTCTATTATTTGGAACCTGCAATACCAATTTAAAACAAAAAGTAGAAATTGTGGATAAAATCCTAAAAATACCGAATATCCGGTCACCTTTATATCAGGCTATACGAAAACGTGGACTTATATGAACAGAGGACATGGTACCCAATTCGGACGTCACAATCGTCGGCAGGGTCGAAGTTTTAATTAACTCCACCATTTGCAAGGAACCTTAAAAATGTGAAAAAATGTCGGGTGGTACACTTATGCTGAAAGCATGAACCTGAATTGCCAATTATGTCCCAAAGAAGGCACATTTCGAACTCCAAATACAAATTTTGAGATTATTCCAATGAAAAATGAAAATCGGAAAAAGCAGAATATAAGGTAATCAAAGGTAATTTTCTCAAAAGACACATAAATCATTAAAATATCCGTATAGATAATTTTCTGTCAGAGAATACCAATTACTACCAATTGTCAACAGCAAATGCCGAATTTAAAATAATTCATAATTATACCCTACACCACATAGTGGTAAGGGTATTATGTCTTTGTGTATTTGTTTGTAACAGGGAGAAGGAAGCGAGATAGTTACTTTTGAGGATCTTCAAAGAATCACTTCTGAGTCGTCCGTCTGTTCATGTATTCTTGTGAACAAAATGCAGGTCTCATTTATTGTCCGATTGAGATGAAATTTTGCAAACAATATTTTTTTTGGCCTAAGGACGAACCCCATTGTTTTAAGTTCCTCACATTGTAATATGACATCAGATACTGCTCGAATCCTTAATCAGATTTCAGGTTAATTAATATCTAATATCAGCCCAATATGATAATATAATTTAGAGAATGATTATATTAAAGAAGTAAAAAAGCAGTAAGTTCGGCCGGGCCGAATTTTGAATACTCTCCACCATATGGAACAAATTAGGAAATTTTCAAAAAAAAAAATCATTAAAAATTCTTTTAAAATCCTAAAAATACCGAATAACGGAAGGTGATGATATATGGTGGGATATACGATATTGTAGACCTATATAGACAAATCTATGTCTGGGGTAAATTACCCACAAAGAACTCCTTGTGTAGAATTTCAGACAATTCCGTTGAAAAATGTGGCTAAAAAATCGAAATGGCGAATATGGAGGATTACCGTTATATGAGGGCTATACGATATCGTGGACCTAAATAGATAATTATCTTTCAGGGGATAAAGTACTTACAAGGAACTCCTTATGTGGATTTTCAGACAATTCCATTGGAAAATGTGGCTAAAATCGTAAAAATAAGAAATATCGGGGGTACCGTTATATTGGGGATATACGATATCGTGGACCTGACAATTCTCTCTTGTATAGCCCCCATATAAGCCCCCATTTGGTATAGCCCCCATATAACGGTACCTCCCGATATTCGGTATTTTGATGATTTTAGCGAAATTATTTACCGGAATTGCTTCAAATTTGGTATGTGAAGTTCGAAATGTATACAAAATTGTCTGTGCAGGTCCACGTCTTCGTATAGCCCCCATATAACGGAACCTCCCGATACTCGGTATTTTGATGGTTTTAGCGTTATTATTCACCGGAGAAGTTTTTAATTACGTATTTAGAGTTCGCAATAGGAACTACAGTCAGACAGAAAATTGTCTATGCAAGTACAGGTCTTCGTATAGCCCCCATATATCAGTACCTCCCTATATTCGGTATCTTGACGATTTTAGGTACAATACTCACCGAAATTTTTGGAGATGTCATATTTGAAGTTCGTAATGGATGCTACAGCCTGTGGCAGAAAATTGTCTATGCAGGTCCAGGTCTTCGTACAGCTCCGATATAACCGATATAACCGTATATATTTTGATGACTTTAGCTACATTAATCGCCGTTTATAGAATTTGAATATGGTAATGGCTTATGACAAACAATAACTATGTAGGTCCACGTCGTATAGAACCCAATATAACGGCTATATTCTGTATTTTAAGGTTTTAACAGAATTTTTAACGTATTTCACGTTTTGAAAATTTCCAAATTCGTAAAAAATAGTGGAGGGTATTCAAAGTTCGGCCCGAACGAACTTATTGCTTTTTAATTTGTTTACTTTACCATTTAATTTAGTTTGGAAGTCTTAGTTTATATGTTTAATTTTTGCGATTAACCTCCCTTGTAATGTAACCGTTGGGAGAAAGGGTTTTTTTGTCCTTAAAATGCATACGTGCATCTTACTAGTTTCTATTTTCGATTTGTATGACGTGGGTGAAAGTCCTTTTATGTCATTAAAATTTCTTATAATGTTTCAAATACCTTATAATTTTGTGAAAAGGTATAAATCGGATCCTTCCCCCACAAAGGGTCTAAATTTCATTTTAATAAACAGACATAGGTTGACGGTGTGCATCTCTCTGCAAAACGGACTAATTATTTTTAACTTTCTATTTTCGCTCCCGGCTGAATGTCTCCTGTAATTATTTTTAGTGTTGCACTGTGTTATCAATGCAGTTTTTAATAGCACTTTGCTTGTTTATACTTCAACTTTCACAGCAAATGATTTATTTTAATTCCTCCATCTTTATTCCTTTTACTTTTAAACATCGTTAGATACAAAGTTTTTTGAACTTCTTTTCACATCACTTCATGTACTCAGTTAACTATTAAAATGAAAACAAAGCTAAAGTTAAAAATAAATATATTTTTGACAGATTCTTAATAATAAGAACTACACACGGATGCATGTAGACAACTGGGTATGGGACTTTGATTTCGTTGGTGGGAGACTTTGTCTGCGGGTGTGAAGATTATAGGAATTTGTTTTCTCTTTTCCGTTTTATTGTTTTCATGTCTTAAACTTTAAGTTTTTTTTACTCAGGGTGCTGTACTATAGTATGGTCTTTTATTGGAAACTGTAACTTTACACACAAAAAAAAGAACACCAACGAATACGAACAGCATGACCTTATATTCATTATTCGGCAAAAGCCAGAACAAGCAAATAACAAAACA